AACCGTGCTTGTCTCCTGCGTGCATGGTAGGCTCGACTTGCGGCGTTCTTGAACTGCCTAGCCACTTCCGCATCATTCCCGTCCCCTTCAAGTGAGTCCTTGTCCTCAAGGATAAAATTCGGGAACTGATCGCGCATCTCTTCAAGATCTTCCCACATGGCTTCTTCAGATGGCAACTCTTCCCAGTCAACTAGTACTTCCCAATGATAGCGCCCTGCTTTCTTTACCTTACGGTACTCAATCGCTCATTTTGGGCGTACTATGGCCCTGCCATCGGCTGCGGTTGCTGGTAACTCTTCACAGTACTTTTGCGCTTCTCCTAAACTCCTCTTAAGTTGCGAGACATGGATAACCGGGTGGATTTGAGAACTTTCTGGTAATTCTAGATGATAAGCTACCTGACCAATGCGCTTCAGAATCTGATAAGGTCCATAACAGCGAACTGCAAGCTTAGTCGCCGCCCTTTGTGCTGTCGTGCGTTGCCTGAATGGTCGTAGCTTTAGGTAAACATACTCTCCCGGCGCAAAGTTCTCTTCGCGCCTCTTACCGTCAGCGAAGGCCTTGGTTCGGTTAATTGAGCCTTCGAGATTTTTCTTCAACTCTCGTAACATCAAATCTCGTTCCTCGAGTTCTCGACCAACCTCGTCATTGACTGTACTCCCCTCCGAATAATTGATCAACGTCGGGGGTTTTCGTCCATACACCAATTCAAATGGTGTCATCTTGGTCGACTCGTGGTAAGTGGTGTTGTACCAATACTCAGCCCAAGGCAAAAAGTTTTCCCACCGCTTTGGGAATTGATGGACGTAGCACCTCAAGTACTGCTCAAGGGTTCGGTTGGTTACCTCAGTTTGTCCGTCTGTCTGTGGGTGGTAGGCTGAGCTCATAGATAACTTGGTCCCTTGCAACTTGAAGAATTCTGACCAAAAGCTGCTCATAAAAATCCGGTCTCGATCAGAGACGATGGATCGCGGTGCCCCATGCAGCTTCATTACGTACTCCATGAATAATCTGGCAATTGACTTTGCAGTATATGGATGAGTGATGGGTATGAAGTGAGCATACTTGGTGAGACGATCCACCACGACCATAACACCGTCAAATCCATTAGAACTCGGCAACCCTTCTATGAAATCCATGGTAATATCTTCCCAGATTGCCTCAGGTACCGGTAGAGGTTGCAACAGCCCGCTCGGTCGTCGTGAGTCAGACTTAGTCCGTTGGCAGTCGTCGCACCGTGCTATGTAATCTCGGACGGTATTCTGTTGTCCGGGCCAGAAAAAAGTATTGGCTATTCTCATCCATGTGCGGTAGATACCCGAGTGGCCTCCAATTTTAGAGTCATAGAAGTGTTGCATGATCTGCTCATGTAACTTCCCACTGTCGGGAACGAATACTCGGCCTCGGTGTAGAAGTAGACCATTATGCAACTCGTATTCGATAGCAGTTGTCTTACCTGCTTCTATTGATTGGCGCAGCTCTTGACAGTATGTGTCTTCCACTTGCGCCTTCTTGACTTCCTCCCAAATAGTCCAAGCCGGCCCAGTGATAGCATTAAGCTCGGCTACATCCGTTCATCTGGATAACGCATCAGCTACTGCATTCTGCCGACCTGGTCGATAGACTATCTCGAAGTCAAACCCCATAAGTTTAGATACAAACTTCTGCTGCTCGGGGGTAACAATTCGTTGTTCGAGTAGATGCTTAAGCGGTTGCTGGTCGGTCACAATCCGAAAGCGTCGACCCAATAGATAAGGTCTCCAGCACCTCACAGCCTCGACAACTGCTACCATCTCCTTCACGTACACCGATAGACCCAATCGTGTAGCGCCTAGTGCCTTGCTGAGATAAGCTAAGGGTCGTCCCTCTTGCACTAGCACAGCTCCAATCCCAATGTCACTCGCATCGGTGTGTACCTCGAACAGGATATCAAACCTTGGCATGGCGAGCACTGGCGTTGTCGTCATGGCTACTTTTAGTTTCCCAAATGCCTCCTCGCTAGCTTCGGTCCATGTGAACCTGCCTTTCTTAGTCATCTCTGTCAGAGGCTTGGCGATGGTTCCATAATCCTTCACGAACTTTCTGTAATAGCCCGTGAGTCCTAGAAATCCTCTCAGCTGTGTGAGACTCGTTGGCTTAGGCCAGTCGACCATAACCTCAATCTTTCGTGGATCAACCTTCACACCCTCATGGGATATGAAATGCCCTAGATACTCAACCACTTTCTGCCCGAATGAACACTTGGATGGCTTGATGTGAAATGAGTTTGCCTCAAAGATTTCGAGCACCACTCTCAAATGCCCAAGATCTTCAACCCACGACTTCGAATAGATCAAGATATCATCAAATAATACCAGAACGAACTTACGTAGATACTCCTTGAAGATAGAATTCATAGCAAACTGGAAAGTGGATGGGGCGTTACATAATCCGAATGGCATAACCAGATACTCATAGTGCCCCTGGTGCGTACGAAATGCTGTCTTTTGAATGTCGGCCTTGTGGAGTCGAATCTGATGGTAACCAGCTCTCAGATCGAGCTTTGAGAAATATCGCGACCCGGCTAACTCATCGAGCATGTCATCGACACTAGGAATAGGAAATCGGTCCTTGATAGTTGCGGCGTTCAAAGCTCGATAGTCAGTACAAAACCTCCACGTGCCATCTTTCTTTTTAGCTAGCAGTACTGGAGAAGAAAACGGACTCTTGCTATGCTGGATTAGTCCTTACTCTAGCATCTCGGCCACTTGCCATTTGATCTCAGTTTTCTGAAAGTGGGCATACCTATAAGGATGGACATGTATGGCATGCTGCTCATTGATCAGGGGTATGCGATGATCGAACTCTCAGTGTGACGGTAGTCCCTTAGGCTCGCCCAGTACTCCCTCAAATTCCTCGAGAAGCTCGCGCATATCTCCTTGCTGTTGTTCCTCTCGGTCTATGTGCGCCTCGGTTTTCTCGACTACTACTGCAAATATTTGGCCTCCACCCCGCCAAACCTTTTCAATGCTCTTAAGTCCTACTTCCTTGGTACCTTTTTCATTGCCAGTACACAGAGTGACTTGTTGACCTCCAGAGTTGAACTCCATAACTCCCGTTCGATAGTCGGTAGTCACCTTTCATAACCCTTCGAGCCACTGAACTCCCAATACGACATCCGACCCAACCAATGGTAAGGCATAGAGATCAGCCTTAACTGTAACTCCGTTGAACTTGATGGGCACCTTCCGGAAAGATTTAGTGCACTGCAGCCTCTCGCCGTTAGCTACTCGTACTTCAAAAGGCTCAATCTTTGTGTTTGGTAGGTTCAGCTTCTGGGACAAGTCGGCATTGATGAAGTTGTGTGATGACCCGTTGTCCGCGAGCACCATCACCTTACGATTTTTGACCCATGCTGGCAGTCGCATCGTTCTTGGCCGTCTGATCCCAGCCATAGCATGCATCGAGATCTCAGGTTCTTCATTAACTGCTTCCAAGTTGTCCTCTAGGTCCAGTTCTTGCTCAATTTCATCTTCCTCATTGTCGGGATTGGCTACTTCGATCACAAAAGCTTGTTTACACTGATGGCCCGGTGTAAACTTTTCTTCACACTTGAAACATAGGCCTTTCTCGCGTCGGCGTTTAACTTCCTCTGGAGACAGTCGCCTCACTATCGACCCTGCTGGTTGATTGCTGACGTTCGGCCGTGCGCTGGCTGTTGCCTGGTTCAGTCCCGTGCATCGCGTGCCCGTGAATCGCACATCCGCCTGTCCCCTTCGCGTAGCGACCAGATGGTCTTCTCGTCGACGGGCTACCTCCATGGCGTTATGCATCGTGCCTGGTCGCTCCAGTCGGACTTTTGCGGCTAGATCGAATCTCAGCCCACCTACGAAGGCTCCTACTAGCGCATCCTCAGACCAATCTCGCACGCGGCAGGCTAGTCGTTCAAACTCCTTGATGTATTCACGCAAATTGCTTGTCTGTCGTATTCGTGTGAGGGCCTCATTGTAGTTATGGTAATCGGACGTACAAAATCGTGTGAGCAATTCTCTCTCAAAGTCAGCCCATGTAATGACCTGTTGCCGCCTACTGTAGATCCTTGAGAGCCGTTGCCACCATACGTTGGCCGCTCCATCCAGATAGAATGCAGCGTACCTTACTCGATCGTGGCCTTCTGTTTCATTCAGTTCGAAATATTGCAAAATACGGTTGAGCCACGCCTCCGGATCACTACCCGTGAAGATGGACATTACGAACCTCAGCTTGTCGGGCTTAGGCCATTCTCGGTAGGTAGACGCCTGCGACCGTTGATCGAACTCCTCCTCGTGCTCGTAACCTTTGCGTCGTCGGTCCTCATCATGTTCGCGCACGCACCGCTGCTCGCGTTGATCCTCGTGTCGGGTTGATGGTGTGCGATCGGCATGCTCGGCGTGCCGGCGTGGTTCGCGCCTTGGGGGATCATCGCAGTGATG